ATTATTATTATTATTATTACATTTTTATACTGCCCATAGCCAAGGCTCTCTAGGCAGTTGACAGCAACAATCATAGAATCATACACTCAAGTCACCCATCCCAATTCTGACCAGGCCTGACCCTGCTTAGCTTCCAAGATTAGGCAGAATCAGGCACTTCAGGCAGGGTTGCCAGTGGAACACAACCGTCCAATTAATGGCTAGCCACAGGGCTATGGCATCGGATGCCTGCGTTGCTTCATGGGCTTTCATTTCGACCACTGTTGCAGAGCAGTGGAGTTTGTCATAACCACACCGTCCTGGTGTTGCAACCACCCTCCAAAACGGGACTACAGGATCAGCTAGCAAGGGGAATTTTCTGCTGCACCTCCTTTATCTTAGTTCATGCACAGGTCACTGTCTTCCTCTAAGGAACGCCGTGTTTCGCTCCACCTAACTCTGCATACCAGAGGAGGTAACATCACCAGGACTGCATACAGATTCACTGATTCTGAGATAGAGTGAGGGGCCAGTTGCGCACTCCTGAGCTTTGCCAAGGGATTATTTCTCTTCTATCCCCTGCCATTCATGCCTCGAACTCATGCACAAATTAAAGACTACAATGAACCCAGGAGTGGTGATGATTCGCCACAGGCCAATGTTCCCACAACAGGGATATTCCACTGCTTCTCCCAAAACTTTCAGCTTTCCTTTAAAAGAAATGAGCAAGCACTTCCACTGCTGGAGCTGTGCAACAAAAACACAAAACAAAAGCAAAAAACAAGCAAGGTTGCATCGACGGAGCTCTGCAGTGCAACCTGCTCTTTGCACCCCAGCATCTCTGGCTACACTAGAAGCCAGATTATTATCCCCATGTAACTGATCATGTCGAGACATCCTATCCCTTTTCTGTCCATGCGGGAAGGGCTTTGCGGAAAACAGCATCTCCTTAAATGTACATCGTAACAGTGGGGCATTTGGATCATAGCGGACAAGCACAAGAAGTTGCCGCAATGCTGACTCTGATATTTTCCCATCTAGCCCAGTATGGACTTCTCTGGCTGGCAGCAGCAGTCCATGGTCTCTGGCAGGGGTCTGCCTAGTCACCTGCCACCTGACCCTTTCACACTGCAGAAGGCAGGAAGCGAACCCAGAGCCTTCTGAGAAAACTGCACAATGTTTGTCTGGAGCGCCCGGTGATGTCTATGTGAGTGGGACTCATCCTCCATTGTGGCTTTTCTTTTGATCTCAGCAGGGACTATCCATGGTGTTGAATGCCATCCTCCAAGTGAGTTCCCCACCAAACTGCACCATGAACAAATCCTATAAGATCAAAGTAAAAGCTGCAGTGGCTGAGGGCCAGGGTCAAATTCGGCCCTCCTGAGTGCCCCAGAGGGCCTTGCCTCTTTCTCCTGGCCTCACTGCCTTTCCTGCAACCGACTCTCATTGGGTGCTTCTTGCCCAGTCGTAAAAGGTTCAGCCACTTCCCCTTAAGGTGTAGTCAGCAGGAACTTTTAAGGAACAATATGCATACATTTTTGGATTTTTGGCTCCAGTCCTTCTGCCTTTGTCCCACTTCCTTTCCCACTCACATTACCAAGAACTGGCAGATCACCCCCTGTATTTCTCAGAAATACAATTCAGTTGTTGAGCTGAAAGATACTCCCACCCTGGGTCTTGTCCCGGGTTGTCTCTCCATCACCTGGTTCCCAGTCCTTCCAGTGGGAGAAGCCAGAAGCTTTTGCATGCTCTACAATCAAGCTAGAGTTGCTCCCCGACTTGCACTGAGAACAAGGATTGTCAGTCCCCTGGGGTCCTGTAATACACGGCTGGTGGCCCGATTCACTCTGGTAGGTCCCTTGTTGGGTTATATGCAAAAATTCCTCACTACACCAGATTGATGCCTGCTGACTGGGTTCAGACGATATGATAACTGACACAGAAGCACTGAGTGTGGCTTGTTGTGGAACTCTGGGCTGTTGTTCAAATGTGAGTTACCTGAACCTAGCATGCTAACAAACCATGGCTTGCTAACAGTGAACCCACAAAGGGATCCCGTGGTTTGTTGTTGGGTTGTGAATGGTCGTTAACAAACCATGGTTTATTAGTGCAGCTGGGTCCAGACAACACGATAAACACAGTTTCACACAGTTTCAACAACGACCCACAGTTCAGTGACAGGTTACATTCAATGCATACTCATCCCTAGAGTGTGGGTTATTGCGTTGTCTGGACCCAGCCGTGCCCACTCAATTGTGTTATTGGAGTATTGTGTATTGTAAAAGAGGCAAATAGATCTTTTGCTCCAGCTTATTCGTACAGACATAAATTCTACATCTAGAATTTAATGTTTAGAATATTGGCACAACAGATCAGAGGAAGCTGTCTGCCTTAATCCAGGTGGGACTATTTTTCAGTCTTCTTCAGTTCTATCCATCCAGACAATATAAGGCTCTCCAATGCCTCCCACAACCATCTTCTTTATCATCTACTCCGAGATCCATTTTCCCCTGGTACCGAATCTGGGACCTTCAGGATGCAAACTGCACCCTCAACCAGGGAAGCTCACACAATGCCTATTGTTCTTTCACAGCCCCTCTCAGGGCTTTGATCATTTCACCATCCATCACTCTGCCCAGGCCTGCAGCCTCAGCATCATTTCCAACACTCCATTATCCTTTGATCCTCAGAGGCAATCTGTCACCCAAACCAGGCATTTTCACATCTGGAATATCTCTATGCCGTGCTTCTTTCTGTCTATTGAGTTTGCTGTTGCATTGGTGACTTTGCTCATTATCTTCCTCCTCAGTGGCCAAATGCTTTTTTATTAGTTCATCTGCTTAACCTCTTCCCCAATTTTCCCCCACCTGCTTTCCTAGCATTCTCTCTCTCTCTCTCTCTCTCTCTCTCTCATTCTCTCTCTCTCTGACACACACACACACGCGCGCACACACACACACACACAGAGAGAGAGAGAGAGAGAGAGAGAGAGAGAGAGAGAGAGAGAGAGAGAGATTAGGAGTGCAGGTTTTGTGCTGCAAATTGAGCCTCCAGTGAGAGATTCTCAGCAGCACCAGCTCCAGGTTTTTGTGGCCCCTCCAAGGCCCCTCTGTCAGCAAGCCGACACCATTGCCAGCAGCTGCGATTGCTCCTCAGCTTCTTTCCCCACGTTGCTACATTTCCCTTGCTGGATAGGCAGACATGAAGCTTGCAGGGCATCTGTCATGCTTCCTTCTCACCACCCATTGTCTGGGCCAGAGTGAGAGGCATGGGCTGCTGTGGGGAGGAGGAGGGGCAACTCTGGAGGCTCTTGCAGGTGCGGCCCTGCTGGATTGTGGGCCCTGGCAGATGCCCAGTCATGCCTACCCTTGGTGCTGGCCCTGGATCTTGGAGCCTGTCAGCTTTCTCCTCCTATGTCCTGATCTTTGGAGTAAGCCAGGTGCCCATCAACAGGCCTGTATCTTAATGGTACCATAGGCTACTAGGTACCTGGGTTTGAACATGCCTGATTCAGACTGTATGTCTTTGTGGCCCTCTTTTTTCCTATGCAAAGAATCCTTCATATATTCCAAGTTTGAGAACATTTCCTTCTCCTGGAATTATTTTTTCCTTTACAAAATTTTTCCTTTTCCAAGAAAGCTGCTCGGGGATGTGGTGACCTGAAATAGCAGGTCAGGTTATGCAACAGATAATGCTTGTAATGATCTTGCGCTGCTATCCCATCATCCTGAGCACAGCAGCAGCTGTCCTGCAGGTACAGGAGCGAAGAGCTGAAGAGCTTCTTTCAGCTCTAGGGCTGGACTCGGGAAGAAGCTCGGGGAGGGCATTCGAGTGGTGAGGGGGTGAGGGCAAAGGTGTGCAGCCCTCAAAATGAAATAAAATACAGGAAATATTGGAGGCTTGTAACACAGAGCTCTTAGTGGCAGCGACTAAAGGCTTTTCTGTAGGAGGCTTTTAAGCTACCACTTGGCTGTTTTCAAAAAATAATTGATTGAAAGCATTAATTAGTAATATAATGAATAGAGACTGTGCCAGTCAAAACAAGGTAGTTTAAAAGCTGTAATTCACTTTGTCCAGCTGTCTATTCCTTAGAAACATGCAAATGGAAAGCATACATACAAACACAAATGCACACGTTCCATCTAGGTATTTATTTAGAAAGGGAGGTGGCTGGGGAGAAAACAGGAAGGGTGGATTAAAATCCAAAGTGCATGGAATCCAGAACATGCAGAATGAGACCCTAAATTATTCAGATTATCAGAGAGCAGATCCAGAAGGAAAATAGCTCAGCTTTCCCCCAACCTAATGCCGTCCAACTTTCTTGGACTTCAACTGCCACATGGGGGCAGGGGAAGTATGAAAACTGCCCAAACGGGGGTCCATGCTGGTGTGGCCAATGAGAACTGATATTGAGAGTGGGGAGAGTTACATCTCCACATTTCCCTGGAACTTCCCAGATGCAAATAAAGGATCTCCTGAAACACTGGACATATTCAGAAGGTCCATCCTGTGAAGCAACACAGAGAGCTAGTTCTTGACCCTCAAAATGACCCTCAGAAAGCATCACACCAAACTGGCATACAACTAAAGCTAAGGCTGCATTCCATACACCAATGGGAGGCATCATTCTTCATCATTTTAAAACAAAGGATGACCAGGCATCACAGAACAGAGTTAGTTCATGGAGGATTTTAGTTCTTCTCATCTGTCCTCATTTGAAAGGCAAAAGGGCTAACAAGCCCATCTGTTAAAAGAGTCTGAAAAGAAAGCCCTTTCTGGATTGAGCCCAATATTCCCAAGCATCTTCTGCGGTGAGGGTTTTAAAAACAGGTCCCTCCCTGCAGCAAATCATCATTGCCACCTTCAAGGAGGGCAGCTCTGCCCAATCACTCCGTCTCCCGTGAACTGACTCCATTCGCACTGGCTGGCCAAGGTGTTCCAGTGCCTGCTCTGCCGTGAACACTGGCCGCAAAACCTAAGCCAAGCCAAGTGCCCTCTCGTCCAGGAAAATTCCTACTCACCTTCTCCATCATGTGGGTAAGAACGACTCTCCGATACTAGATCCTCACTACTGTCCATGGGAAGAAGCTCCTCGGTGGTGCGTGTCTCTGAGATGGAGGTGGTGAGCAGGTCGCTGGTGGATACCCGTTCGGATCGCAGCAGCTCCTCTAAGAAGGGGGTCATGCAAAAGAGGAGGCAGGCAATTATCGCAGCCACGGAACTCAGGATCCCGGCTGGCCAGCCACCAAGTGTGTCCGAGCACAACCGCTGCCCTCACCCTTGATATTTAAAAGCTACCCCTCTGGGATGTTTTCTTTTCTCAAACCTCCCCCCGCCCCCCCGGCAAGTCCAAATCATCTTCCAGAAAGGATGTTGGCTGAAATTTCCACTAGCCTTTGGAAAAAGGCCTTCCACTGGACACGAGGGCTCTAAGAAACAGGTTCCAGGTGTGCGTGAGCTGCCTGGACACCCAGTTATGGTGTCTGAAATGCACGTAACACCTTCTTGCAACAGAAGGCATTTCTGCCTCCTTCAAAGCACCCTCTCTTGAAACCCTCTATTCTGGTTGGGAATGACACACGGAACATGTGTCCTGGCCCCAGCTAATGTGAGGCCAAATTTACAGGGGCTACAGGGAGAGTTAAACAGCCAGAGGGAAGAGAAAGACTCGTTTTCTTACAGGGGACACTAGAACTGTGTGGCAAACCATCTGCGTTGTGTGCAGAAAGCCCCAGGGCCCATCCCGGCACCTCCGAACAAAAGGATGGGTAGCAGGTGATGGAAAAGGTCTTTCTCTGCTTGACACCCTGAGTGCTGCTGCCAATCAGCGTTGACGATACTGGCCCAGATGGACAAATAGGCTGACCTACTCAAAGGCAACTTCCAACATTGCTTCGTACGCCTCCACGTTGAATATCTAGTTCTGCAAAGCTAAGCTACAAGGTAACTTATGTTTGGTTTAAGAACAGAGAGCTGATGGCTGGGCTCAGACAACATAACATCCCGTTTTCAAGGGCTGAGTCTGTGTTATCAGAGGACTGTGGATTGTTGTTGAAATAGGGGTTATCATGTTGTCTGAACTGTACCGACAAGCCATGGCCAGTCAAGAACCACCCATGCGGTGACCCATGCTTGGTTGCTGGGTTATGAACTGTGGGTTGCTCAGCATGGTTTGTTATCTTGATTGGAATCAGACAACGCAATGATCTATGTTTCAACAACAGCCCACACTTAACCCTTGGGTGGGGCTTATCTTGTTGTGTGAACCTAGTCAGCCTTGGCCTGAGAAGATGACCTGTTCTGGCCCAGGTGCATGTGGGGATGCCACAGCATCCTGGTAGTGGTACTGCAACTGTCCACAGCAGCCCTGTCTTGCCTTTCTCTTCCTCTTGCCTTCCTCTTCCTCATGCATCCTCTTGCATGCTATCATTTCACATCAGGGGCCCAAGTGGGAGATGACCATTCCCGCAGTGCTTGGCAGAGCAAGAGACACTGGACTTCTGTCCCAGAAGGAGTCCTGCCTGGAGTGTCAAATGCCCCAAGGAGCTCTGTGACATCCTTCTGGACAGTGTCGGGGACGCTTGCAAAATCAGCAAGGTGCGGCTTCCAATTTAGAAGGTGGGCCCCCTGAAAATGAGATCCCCCCAGAGGAGACGCCATCGAGTGCAGGGGTTCTCTGGGGTGACCTCTCAAATAGTGCTGAGTGCATGGACAGCGTGGATCCTCGTGAGATGTCCCTCAAGGTGCAGTGGTGGGAGGCCTTCTGCTTCCAGGGTGGGGACACACTTTGACAGAAACCTGGTGTGGGGGCTGGATGTGACCCATGAACCCCCAGCAGGGCCAGCCAAAGATACTTTGAGCAGATATGCATAAGAGCAGATGTGGTGTCCTCTCTCTGGAGTCAATGCACACAGGACCCAAGGCTGGCCAAGTTATTTGGGTACCTTGAAAGGAGAACCCCCAAGGATCTCCCCACTACTAAATGCAAAAAAAAGGCAATCCGTTCCCCTTACAGGACATCCTAAATTAGTTGCCTGAGTTGGTTACCTCATTCTGTCTAATGGTCATGCTGGTCCTGGAAGCCCACTGGGAGATTGCCCCCCCTGCCCCCCCAGGAAGAACTTTACAGGAACGGGGAGGCTAATCTGGCCCCAAAGCTCGGCCCGAGAAGGAACAGCTGCCGGGAGCTTGTTTCACCATTTTGTGCCAGAAAGAAATGAACTAGTGCCTGAGTTTTGCTGTTTCCCTCTCCCCCCTCCCTCTCCCGCTTCCTTTTATGTCTTGCCTTTTAAATTGCAAGCATGAAGCCTGGGACAGTCTTATTATTAATCATTGTAAGCTGCTCTGGGAGCTTCTCTGGCAGAAGAGTGGGCTAAAAACACTGTAAATCAATAGACAAATCCCTGGTTTGAGGATTTGAGGGCGTGTAGAGAAAGCAGGGAGAGGAGGCGTGAACTGTGCAGCACTTGGAGCACAAAGGATTCTGGGTACACACCAATGTCTCCTCGGAGCTCCTGTGTAAGCTGCGGGTTCTTGTACAGCAATGCCAGGCTCTGGTTCATCCGCTCCTCAATCACATGGAGGTGGGTGTACACCTGGGGAAGAGGGAGGCATCCTGGGATTACGTGGCTAAAAGAGGTGTGTGTGTGGGGGGGTGGTACCTGAGGGGAAGAGGAAGGAGATCGCACCTGGAACTTCATTTGCTCAGCTTTCTCGGGATCGGCGGCCGCCACATGCTGATAATGGCGGAGGGTGTGGCGCTGGTCCTTCTGCTCTGCCCGCACGTACCTCTTCAGTGCTGCCAGGATGCGGTCCGGCTGGGTCAAAGGAGAGCACACGGGAAGACAGCTGAATGCCGGCTATTCCGCTCCCTTTCCTACTCATTGAAATATCTTTCAAGCTTGCCACCTGGTCCCATCACATGTAACCTTTCTGGCCATGTGCACAGGCCCCATTTTGGTGACTGACCCAGCATGTGCTGACTCAGGCGCATGGATTTGCCAAAGGCACATATGCCAAGTGCATGTGTGTTTGACCGGGCTCACTCAGTGAGTTTCCACAGGTGAGGGCAGAATGCGCCCTTTCTGAAATCAGGCCTGCTGGCCCAGCTAGTTTCTTTTAAAAGTGCCGTTAGCTGAACATGCTTAGAACTAGCTAGATTTCTTCCTTAAGAAGATGCACATGCTCCCCTCCACAATCCATACAGGGATGGCAGCCTAGGAGATGCCATGCACCAGCCCTGAGCATTGCTTTCCTTCCAAAATGCATCCCCCAGATTGCGCTTTGCCCTGAATGCTGGCATGGGAAGGGAATTCTAGTAGGAAAAGAAATGTGGTGCATGTGTACATGTGAAAGGAGGGAGGGGATCACAAGGTCAACCTCCTCTTCTCTGACTCCCACATCACAGTCCTAATCTGAATCAACTACTCACCCCACACCCCAAATCAGCTACTTTTAAGAAAAGAAGTGATGCTCCTAGTTCTAAGCTCATTAAGGCCAGGAAAGACATCACTTTGTGTGTGTGTGTATGTATGTATTTATTGCATTTCTGCATTGCTCAACAGTCAAAGCTCCCTGCGTAGTTCATAAATAAAAGATGATTAAAATCTCTAAAATACAGCATGCCTTAACAGGTGCTTTCCTTAGCAGCCACCCATCTTAGCTCATTGCGGGGAGAGAGCACGTGAAGATGAACTGAGGGTCTGGGCTGGTATATTTGGGCTTGACTGGTTAATAGCAGCATTCTGAGTTAGCCCAAAGTACTTTAAACATCTAACAGCTATGCCTTCTTATCACTTTTATCCTAGAGTAAGCTCAGAGGACCCCATCCAGATTACAAGAGCTCCCTCACTCTCCACGCGAGGTGCCTAATCCAAACTGGGGTGGGGGGGGGGGGCTTGCATCTACTCTAGAGTAAAAATGGGGCTGAGAGGAAGATTTTAAATAAAGTATGTTGATTTTAAACATACGCATTTCAAATAAAGTATGTTTTGATGTGGAAGCTGGACAGTGAAGAAAGCTGGCAGGAAGAAAACGGATGTGTTTGAAACATGTGCTGCAGGAGCGCTTTGCAAATATCCTGGAACAGCAGAAAGACGAACAAGTGGGTCTGGGTCAAATCAAGCCAGAACTTGCCCCAGAAGCAAAAAAGGTGCCACTGAGGCGGCTGAATTTCCAGCACCTCGTGAGAAGGCAAGACTCGCTGGCCTTCGCTTGGGACAGCAACAAGCTTTGGGATAGGCTTGAGCGCTGAAGGTCTCTTCTCAAGACTGCTTCTTCTGCAAATCTTTTCCTGGGGTGCCCTGGCTGTGTCAGAGCTTTGTCCACCCCACCCTCTCTTGTTTGTCCAGAACATAACTCCTCAGGGCTGAATCACTCCAGCCGTCTCCGCAGCATCATCTAGTACTCTGGCGTTAAATGAATGGTGAATAGTAGCAAGTGTGTTGTTGAGCATTGTGAATGCACAATAAAGCAACTGTTGAGCGAGAGAACAGATAAGCAAACCCTGCCTACGCATTTAGGGATGGGGGGGAGATTTGATTTTAAAGAAGGTATTGGACTGTGCGGAAATGGACAGACTGACTTTATCTCTTAAGGAAAATGAAGATACATGCTACTATCAAACATGCGACTTTTTATCATTGGTTAGAGAAATGGAATCTTAATTAGGGCTGAACGACAGAGTAACTGTAGAGAGAATAAGATTTTGAACTCAGTTGGTCTGAAGTCTTTGGAATAACTACTTGTTTAGAGTATAGAAAACAATAAAACATTGAAACTGTATTTAGGGATGGTGGGGGCAGCTTAAGATGAGTTAGCAAAAAATCTCTGTCAAGCCAGAACATTTCCTGGAAGCAAGAATGATAAAATTGAAGCTGTCAAGACTTTTGGCACAATATGAGAAGGCAAGATGCACTGGAGAGGTCAATCACGTTAGGGAAAGTCAAAGGCAGAAGACCAGATATGAGATGGATGGGCTTCATAAAAGCCACAGCCTTGAATTTACAAGTGCTGAGCAGGGCTCTTGTGAATAGGATATTTTGGAGGGTTTCCATTCATAGGGTCATTGTAAGTCAGAGATGAATTGACAACACATAAAGCACTATGATTCTCAGGATTTCTACCACAGCCTCACATGGTCCTACACGGTCTCTGGGTCATTCCAGTATTTCATCTTTAGTTGCAGGAAGTTTTGGGACCAAGTCATTGTGAATCGAGCCCATACTTCAGAGGAGCTGGAGTCTAGGCCTGGTGGAATTTATTTATTTATTTATTATTTATTTATTAAAACATTTCTATGCCGCCCCTTGCCGAAGCCTCGGGGCGGCTCACAGCATAAATTGGCAGAGAATTGGCAGAGAATTGAGTTTGCCTTGCTCAAACCCCTCCGGTGTTACAGATGGTGCTGATGGGGCCATCACTAGCTTTGGAAACAACAGCTTTGGAAACTGTAAGCAGCCAGAAGAGGGGAGTCAAGACAGGAGGAAAGGTTGTAAGGAGGTTGTAGTCACCCAATGGAAAATCCCCAAATGGAAAAAGGAGTAGGTACGTGGGTGGAGGAGAGGGGGGAAGGAAGAGCATCCCAAGACAGGAGACATTTTGGAATCCCACAGAAGTGCTGACCCTCTTTCTGAATATGAACCAAATTTAAATTCAGAGAGGTTCTCATGGGTCACATTCCAGTGATAAGCCCCAGACTCAAAATATGGGGCTGGTCTAAAAATACCAGCATCTTTTAGAGAAAGCCTTTCAACCTATGCCTTAGGAAAGGCAGCTCAGCCTTTCAGAATGGAGAAAGATACAGGAGCCCCATAACTATGGCAGTGAAGAGAAAGGGGTGGGTCAGAAGAAGGTGGCACAGCCAGCTGAAGAAATCCAAGGGGCTAGACTGTGACCTCAAGGAAGGCTACATCTGGACCTTGGACCCAAGGCTCAACGCCCATTGCAGAAGCTGCAGCAACTTTCCACCTGGCTCCTGCCCAGACCTCTTTCAGCACACTCTCCCCACTCCTCAGGTGCTTTTGCCTACCTGAGGATGATCGTTCTGCACAGCTGTCAGGTAGCTTTCCAGGGCTGCACGGCGATTATCATTCAGCAGGGCCACGACGCGGGCCAGATGTGTCTCCACCAGCCGCTGGCGTTCCCGGGCCACCTGTTCCTCCAATGTTTGAAGGATGGACTGAAAGTGCTGGGGCAGCAAAGAGAGCGGTTGAGAGCTTGATTAAACTAATGTAGATGCTGGGATTAAATGGCTGGTCTGGGAGTTCTTGATGTTACGGCTACAGCAAAGCAAGCGGGGACTGGATGAAAAATTTGGATGGGTGATCACCACAAAGTTCTGTGCAGAGCAGGATGTAATTAGATACGGATATATTTATGTGCTCTCTTTTTCTATGCTCAGAGTAAATGAGTGGCTTGGAAAAATAGCAAAAATAATATATATATATTTTAAAAATCAATACAATCAGTATACAACTTTAAAAATAAAAATTACAAAAGGGGCTGAAATGGCAAAAAAGTTGAACATACAAACCTCCATTTAGAGCAGGCGTTCCTAGAAACAAGCATTTAATTAATTAATGTAGGGGACCTTCAGATAAATTCCCAGGAAAGCTTATGCCACTAAATCAGACATGCAATAAAAAGCTTTATCAGGCATAAAAGCACCTGTCTCACCAGCAGGATTCCAAATCTGAATTAAACTAACTCCAGTGTTAAGAGCCTCATTTAGCTGAGGTGGAGGTGGAGGTGGAGGAAGTGTTTTCAACCAGACACTGAGTTGGTTGAGAACAAGTCTCTCTCGGGAAAGTGCTGTGCGTGCAGGGTGCCACCACCTAGGAACTCACTCCCTGTCACACATCAGATAGCAGAGGGCTCTGGCACCGGATCTCTCATGGGACACGTCAGCAGCTGAAGCCTTTGGAATGCTCCGTGGCTTGGGAGCAATTTTGCAGAAAAATCCATCTCTGCACAGCTCCTGGCTCTGCACTCAGTGCAAGGCATTTATAAACAGGACCCTTCCAGGTGCAGTTGACCCACGACTGGGCATCAGCAGCCTGAACTGAGATCAGCCAACTGCACTGATGTCAGAAACAACAATGTTGCTTTCAGTATTGGATTGTTTTGGAGGCCCTGTGGAGGGCTGCAAATAAATGCATTTTGTCTATAAATAAAACCAGAACCAAACAAGAGCTTTATAAACAAACATATGGGGAAATGCAGGAACTGGCATAAGAAAAATCTGAGACATGGAGCATAAGAATGCCACCAGCTATGCTCACAGATGGGCAGGATGACTGGTCCATATTATTTATCTGAACATATTTGGGGGACCAACTGTCATGGGTGCAGCCCTCCCAAGGCGGCACAGAGCAATTATACAGAGCAGAACAGTCGTAGTCCCAAACCGAGGGGGAAAGCTGCAATATAATGTTGTGAGCCGCCCCGAGGCTTCGGCAAGGGGCGGCATAGAAATGTTTTAATAAATAAATAAATAAATAACTAAATAAATAAATAAATAAAATATAAATGTAATGCAACAGCAGAGGCAAAGCCAGGCAATCCATATCGCTTCGCAGCAGATGAACCCCATCATGAGTGCTCAACAGATTTCAAAGGATTTCCAAAACCTCCAGCGTCATAAAACCATTAGGAAAGAAGCAAGCGGGGACAGTTGAGGTTTAAAGCCCCCTTTAAATGCCTGTATTAAAGAGGTTCTTTGCAGAGCAGGGGTAAAGAATTCCACAGTGGAGGGGCCACCCCTGGAAAGGCCCTTTCCCATGCACCCGCTGGCCTAATTGATCTTACTAGTGGTCAAATGAAGCAGGCCTCTGAAGGTGATCTCGGCATGGCCTCTGCCCAACCTCACCTCATTGAGCGCTTGTCGGTCAGTCTTGGGCAAGTTCTTCGCCTGATTGTCAGCTTCGGCCCACTCCTTCATCACCTGTCAAATGGGAGCAGAGGGACGAGGGCTGATGACGATCCTGCTAAGAGCTAAGGACTCATCCTGCCACACAGACCTATCCCTGTAATTTGGGTCCAGTGCATTCCTCTCACCCTCCATTTCTGCTCTTTATGACATTCCAGGGCAGCACTGGCGACCAGTAATAGGAGACTGAAGCAAGCCGTGTCGGCATATTTGGCGTTTTAGCCCCGCTACTACCTGAATGCAGCCGCTGAGAGCGTCTCTCCATGAATTTGGCCCTCAGCCTGAGAAAGGTTCACCATTCCCGAGGGATGACCGAGGTGTCCCAGGCAACCGCCTGGCGCATCCGTCATGGGCTTAGTCGCTATTCATGCAACAGTTGAAACAAAAGAGGCGGACTCTCCTGCCTCCGATCTGGGAAGCCAGCACTGCACTGCCTTAAAAATGCCCTTGCATGTTGGCTCAGTCCCTGGGAACACGTTCACAGCCAAAAGCCAATCAAGAGAGCTGAGCTTGCAGGCAGCTGCAGGCATGCGCACGCTCTACCTGCCTTCCCAGATTGGTACCCTCCTGATGTGTTGCACCGGAGGGCACCTGGCTGACCATGCTAACTGGGCATTATGGCAGCTGTGATCCAACACCTCTGGCACCAGGTGGGGAAGATTATCTCATACGATGGGGGCAACTCGTGCCTCGATGCTGTAAAGGGGGCTGCCCCGGCAATTAAAAGCAAGGGATTCAAAAGCCGGGCAAATGGAGAGGCATGGGCCAAGGCACCCTCTGGCCCAGGGCTGGCCCTGCAGTACCTCATTGATCTGCCTCATGCGGCGCTCCTCCAGGTCCATCTTGGCACGCAGGAAGTTGGCATGTTCATTCCCATCTCCGGGCATTTCAAAATACACATCCACTCCGTCGGTGGGCCGAGGGGTTGGGGTCACTGCAAGGGCAAGGAAACCCATTACATGGGCCCTGCCAGCCCACTGCCCCCCCACAGTCAAAGGTGGCAATGGCAGGGTCCTCTGGGGAGGGGGTGACCCATTCTTGCTTTGTAGCACAGAATTCCCCCCCCACCGCTTAAAACACAGGTGGGCAACATGTAGCCCTGCAGGTGCTTTGGCCTTCAGTGCCTATCATCCCGAGCCAGCAGAGCCAATGGTGCAGGATTATGGAAGCTGCAGGCCAGAGGCTGACTGCCTGAAGCCACACACAGAGTGCTGTAGTGGTGAAGAGCACGGGACTGGGACCCACTTGGCCATGCAGCTCATGGGGTGACTTTGGGCCAGTTGCTGTCCCTCAGCCTGGCCTACCTCACAGGGCTGTTGTTGCGAGTTAAGCCCTGTGAGGTAGGCCAGGTGAGAGGCCGGGTGTCAATGCGACCAACAGAGAAGCAAATGCAGAAGCGTTCCGGTGTCCCCCGGCACGGCAGAAAGTCCCGCAGCACAATTCAGTCTCCCGCAGGCTCTTGGTTCGGGCCGACTGAGACACCAGTGCCCTCACGTGCCATCCTCTGAGGGATGCTTGGGCTCGTGCGTCCGCCCCCTTGTGCTGGGAAGAGCCAGGTTCTGGGCCTCCTCCAAACAGATGCTTCATTGTGAGGAGGAGGAGGAGGAGACGTGACCAGGAGAAGCAGCTGAGCATTTCCTGCCACCCCTGCTCCCCCCACCCCGTGACTGCAGCTCCCAGGCCTCCTGGCTCTCATCCACCAGCAGCAGCGATCCCCTCTGTGGCATGCTTCAGAAAGGCCCCCGGCTGGAAATGCTGGTCTCGGGCAGCCCCACTGCCTGTCCCAGGGTTTGGGGGCCCCCAGGGAATCTGCCTGCAGTGGGGTTTTCCGCCCTCACTCCTGTCCCTGCATTAGCCAACTCTCTGAGAACCTATCAGCCCAGCTGCCTGCAGAGGAGAGGGCGAGAAGAATGTGGGTCCATCGCTCTTTTTTTGCTCACGCAGCAGGTGCGGCCAGCCCTGCCCAGCCCTCTCTGCCTTACCTTTGACATCTTCTTCCGTAGTCTGTGTCGTGGTGGTGATGGTAGTTTGGGTGATGCTGTCATCGAAGTAACCCGGCTCCACAAAATAGTCGTCCCAGGGAGCAGGGAAGGGGTCAGAGTCAGGGGCACTATCTCCAAGGCTCTCCTCCTCTTCCTCATCCACCTCCTCCTCTTCCTCCAGGTCCCCCTCTTCTTCCATTTCCAAGCTCTCTTCCTCTGTCGGGATGCGTCCCGTCGGAACCTTGTTGCTGTCAAAAAAAGCCCCCAAGTCAGGAGGTTGCGCCTTTGTCGCTTTGAGGAAATGCATATGACAGAGCAGGAGCACTGGTGGGATGAACTGGGGATTCCTCTTGTAGACTGGGACAGTGGCATGATTTTCCTGCCCGGCAGTTCTCCAGAGTTGGGGAGGGATTATGTATGCACGGTGCTGTGGATGCTGCATAATTCAAAACAGGGGTGGGGAACCTTTTGCAATGTGAGGGCCTTCCCTTTGGAGAAGCTCTCGGGGGCCACATTCCAGTGGTGGGCTGAGCCAAAGGCAAGGAGGGCAAGGCCAAACGTATCAGTCTCTTTGAGCTTAGAGATCTCACTGCCAAGAGGCACTTCAGCCTTGTAGCTTAAAAGCCACGTCACTACCAAAGGTGGGGGCGGGGCGGGGCACGATCATCTAGAAAGCCTGGAGGGCCAGATTAGAATTTGGTGGAGGGTGGATTTGGCCCCTGGGCCTTAAGGAGGGCTCTGCACTCCTTATTTAAAAGCTGGATTGAGGGCAGCTAGTACTTGGGGAAAAAGCGGGCTGCTTTCCCTCGAAGAGGAAGGCCTCAGCAGTTATAGGCAGCCTATCAATACACGTATACATAAGTAAAAAAATAAAGAAAGTTCTGAAGCTCTGAACTGAGAGGCAACTGATAACGAAGCGGACGGGTGCGAGACGACAAGTCCTTTGCCCACCTGTGCAGAGCTTCCTCCTTCAGATGGGAGAGCATCTGGGGAGCCTCCGTAGCTTGTTCCACCCGGACAGGTGGAGGGCGCGAGGGGCAGCACACGTACTCAACTCCCCGGAAGCGGTCAGCCCCACAGGGCAGCAGCATCCCATAGCTGTGAAGCTCTAGGTCCTCACCACTGCAGGCCTGGGAAGTGGAGAGAGCCAGCCTCAGCACTCTGTCCAGATATCACAGCACAGCATCACTTGTGCCAACCGTGGTGGAGAATCCACACAGTGGCTTGGTCTGGGTATCATACCAGAGCATGGATCATGGTAACCGTGATAGCCATGGTAACCATGGTTAAAAATCCATGCAGTAGCTTGGTGAGGAATCCACAAAGTGGCTTGGTTCAGCGATCATGCCAAAGCGTGGGATGCACTAAGCATGGTTAAGAATCCAGGCCATCCCGTTCGGTCCACAGCTCCTGGGTTCACAAACCGTGGAACAAGCAGATAAGCACTTGTCCCTCACACCAGTCTCTATGCAAAGATCCTAGTTTGCATTAAGCCAGAAGTCCCCATTAGCTCTGAACTGAACAGCTCTGGCTTCTTTTTAGTGAGCAGAATAAGTTAGGTGGAGGGGACTGGAGTTGGAGGGAAGAGTACTTGTCCATGAGGGTCATACCCGGCTCCATAAACCATGGTTTCTGATGCAAAGAATGACTGAACCAAACGTACAGGCAGGTAGACCATGGTTCAAACCTGCCCATCTTTTTTCCATTTTCTAGCCATTCAACATGCGACAAGTTCCCTCTTGTCTCCACCATCCAGCACTGACTTACAGCACAGCAGCAACTCCAGTTGCAGTTAATAAAAAACCAGCTTCAAACTACAGTTTGCTCTCCATATTTAGCAGCCCCTCACAAAGCTACCAATGTTGCACCAACGCATGCTTTTGCATCAAGTCTGAATGCAACCGATTCTCCTACTTGGAGCCACATTACAATTTTTATCACTGAAAAGTACTTTTTTGTATCAGAGAAACCCAAGATTCTGTGGTGAGGAAAACCATGTTATTTGGTCCTGTATAAATCATGTAAATTAAGTGCATGTACATGGTTTTTCTCAATGAATATGCTATACAAGGTAAAGGTTTCCCCTTGACATTAAGTCCAGTCATGCCTGACTCTCGGGGGCAGTGCTCATCTCCATTTCCTGGCTGAGGGAGCCAGCGTTTGTCCGCAGACAGTCATGTGGCCGGCATGACTAAACACCAAAGTGCACAGAACACTGTTACCTGCCCACCGAAGTGGTACCTTTTTCTCTACTTGCATTTGCATGCTTTCGAACTGCAAGGTTGGCAGGAGCTGGGACAGAGCAATGGGAGCTCACCCTGTTGTGCAGATTCGATCCGGCGACCTTTCGATCAACCAGCCCAGCAGCACAGCAGTTTAAACCACTGCGCCACATGCAGTCCCCCCCTATATATCACATTGTAAATTGGTTTGCAGGTTTTCCTCTGTTCTGGGAAGGGTGGACAAAGTGTTCCATGGAGCCCTTCAGCCTGGTCCCCTCTGATCACTGGTAGTCTTATCTTGTAGCAACTCCTGCTTCCGAGATTTCGCTGAGTGTTGTTTCCCCAGAATTGTTCATGGACTACCAACCATGCCTTCACTCTTATGACTGCTAGAAACCCTTTTTCTATACTATTGCAAAACTGTGACACACAGACTTTTTTATACCATGACAGTCTCTCCCAGGGGCTTTTACCAGGAAACTTAGAAGGAAAGCAAGTTTACAATTCCTATAGCATCATAAATCTGGAAGAAACTGAAATGGCTCAACTGATTTTAATTAAAAGGGGACTGTGTTTTGGTTATAAATGCTGTCACTGATCTGGTTCATGTAAAATATGAACCCATGGTTTATTTAACCCATGGTTTGTTGGTCTATCCAGGGTCTTGTCTGGCAGATGATCAAACAAACTGTTGCTGTTTTCTCTATCCCTGGGTTATATAATTCTTACATTGTTGGGTTATTTCCTTCTCCCTCCCTGTATCCCAAATGCTTTAGTGGTGCTGCAGGACTGGCACACAGAGCAACTGTTCTCACTTTACCTCTCTTGCTTACTGCCTCTGAAGCAACCCATGAACAACTCATGTTACTGGGTTCACAGGTAACAACAAACCATGGGTTAAATAACCTAGAAATCTTTTCTTCCAGCAGGTTTTACTTTAAAACATGCACCATCCCCCTTCACAAAGACACCCATGATCACTCACCTCTTTGGCTACACTGTGCCAATACAGATAGGTTTCACATGAGTCCATCTTCTCATGGTGTAAGAATTTGCACTTATCAGGCACAAGAAGGGCTTCACTCACAAATTCACCCACTGGGGAAGAGAAGAACAAGCTACTGTTACTGTTATTCCCAAAAGTTCATGGTGGTATATGTGGTCACACTGGTTTATCCTCACAACAACCCTGTGAGGTAGGCTAGGTCAGGAGACTCAGAGTGAGAACCTAGTGAACTTTGTGCCTAACTGGGGGGATTTAAATTCCAATATTCCCAAACCTTTCCTAACACTCAAATCAAGAACTGACAGGCACTGTTGAGACAACACCTCCCAGTAACCCTAATCAGCAGCTACGCTGGCTGGAATTGAGAGAGTTGGAGTTCAGCTACATCTGAAGGCTGACGGTTCTGCTCCAACCACTATACAATACCACCTCTTTCCTTCTTATCACTTAGAGAGATATGTACCTGCTGTACATCCATCAGGTTTCAAAACCTCAGTACCTCTTGGAAAATCTTAATCTAACCAATTAAGATTGCAGTTCTACAGATGTCTGCAAGCAAAGTTCCATTCAATAGGAATTATTCTCTGGAAAATGCATATAGGATTGCAATTCTATGCATATGGACTTAAAAGTACAAGTTGCTAAATCAGTGGGGGGTTTTTTACTTCAGAGAATAAATATTGTATGGGACGGTACTGTAAGGCTCTTCTCGTCTCCCTCCCGATCCCCACTGCCCAGGCATTGATATTAAATGCAACTCATCAATTAATATGACTTGCTAATTTTCTCCTAAATAGGCAGGGATGTAGGGGTGTCACGGTCAGGACAGCAGCACACAAGCAGGCCTTTTCTTTTTGTTCTTAACCCCTTCCCTTGCTGCAGCCCCGTGAGAATGACACCCTTCTATCATGACGGCTAAAGAGCCTTTATCCTCAGGAAGGAAACTTCCACTCGTACTAGCAGAAGCTTTCAGGGAAGAGGAGGAATGGTTTATTATGCTGGATTAAAACCTCCTTCCACGGGGCTCCTGACCATCCCATAGCAGCTACTTAGAAGAAAAAACAACAATCCTAGGCATGTTACATGAGCAACACATTGCATGCACCCCTTTCTCTTGGTTCCCCCTTTGTGGCAGGGTAGGCAAACTGGGGCCCTCCAGATGTTTGGACCTCAATTCCCATCCGCTTCAGCCAGCATGGGAGTTGTAGCTCAAAACAGGGTGGGCAGAAAGCAGAAGTTTGGGTCTTTATTTCCCACTCTCTTGACCGCTGGCCAAGGAAGGGGAGCAGCTGGTTGGAAGCACCTGGAGATCCACCTTCCTCCTGCCATTGGTCTAGAACCTCTGGAGGCCACCAGGTTGCCCACCTTTGCTGCCAGCAGTTTGCCCTCAGTCCTGCTTTATGGATGGAGGAACCACGGGTGGTCAGGGCGGCCCTCAAAGGGGCTGCCTGAAGCCATCCTGCCACTGGCACCTACCCAGGCACTGATAGGGCACCACGATGTGCTGATGCCCTTTGCATCTGGGCCGCCCCTTTTTGCACCAGTTGTCGATCGTGACTGGCTGGGTGCCTTCCACAGCATTGGTAATCTGCAGCTCAGGATACACCTATGGGGGAAGAGGAAGGGTGATGATTGCAGCAGAGCACGGAAGAAAGATGGAGTGGGTGGTCCTTTCCCCTTGCCCTCTTTCAGCGGTGGCACATCAAGGGAAGATGCTACCTGAGGACCTCCCTTGGAGGGAGCTCCTCAGAGGGGACTCCCAGGAGTTCCTAAGTAGCCTCCCCACCGGGACCTGGAGCCGTCTGGGCCTGCCTAGCTTCGGGGATGGAACCAAGGCAAGCCCCTTCAGACCGCATTCTGAGCCCCTGTTGCACCTGAGGCACAAAAGGTGCACACAAACGGGCAAGGTCCATTTCCAGGGTGAAGATGGTTCAGGGCTCCCTCAGTTCATCAGGAAGAGTCTAGACCAGGGATGGGGACCCCCTTGCAGCCCGAGGGCCAGATTCAGTTTGGAGAAGCCTTCAGAGGCCACATCCTAGGAAGCGGCTGGGGCTGCAGGGAAAGGGTGTGGGGCATAAACGTTTTATTGCCAGATAAGCCTTAGAAGAGGCATTTCAGACCTTTGGAATGGAGACAGAACTGCACAAAGGGTGGGAAATCATGGGGGGCCTTGCTTGGAGGCAGAGTTCAGCACCAAGGAGAGCGCTTAGAAAACTCAGAATAAAAGCCGCAAAGGCGAAGGAGCCAAACTGACCAGGCTTCCCTGCCAAAAGCACCACAGGACTGGTGGGGGGTGGGGGGTGGGGGAAGGCGGGGAAGGGGGCAGGACTAAGGGAAAAGAAATGGCCTTTTGGGAAACCTGGAGGTCCTCAATCCTGGCATAGGCATTGCAAGACACACCCGTCTTTTGCGGGGCCAGAGAGCAGCACTGGGGTCTGTAAAAGACCCCATCAGGGGTACAGCTAAATGGGTGGGTCAACATGAAAGGGCAGTGAGGGGCCAGCAAAGAGTAAAGTTGGGGTGCCAAAGTCAGTGCCCTCTTGGCCATAGCCCGCACAGGGCACGGGAAACCACACTCTTGTGCATCTCACGCTTCTTGGAGGCCAGTGGCCCAGTGTTCTGCCCCCTTTTCATATTGCCACCAGTAGCAGGGGGCCCCAGGCCCACCACCTGACGGGACTGCCTTGCCAGGCTCTGCAGTAGGGTCACCCCTGAGAAGGAGGCAGAGGTGCTCTGTATGAGCAGCACTGAAAGAGTTTCCTTTCTGGGATATCATGGCTAGTGGCGGTCCTTTGTCTGTTCGCTTTCCCTGTGTTGACAGCCCTGCCTTAGAACAATACAGTAAGGATTATAGCAACATGACAATGGTTCTCAAGGGCTTTAAATACTTGGACACACTATATACTTGCTAAGCAGTGCAATTCCCATGCTGCTGAGAGCAGAGAGAGAGAGAGAGAGTCTGGGGTGGGGGATCAGACAGCCACACCCACTTTCTCTAGCACCACCCCCTTTTCCCTGGCTGTCAGTCCTCCTGCGTGTTTTCCGCTTTTGCATGGTTCCTTTTCTCCTGCCCCGCTTTTAAAACTTGAACTGCCTCTCTAAAGGCTTAGTCTCTGGCAGTAAGAACTTCAAGGTAAAACATCCCAGCTTTTTTCTTATTTTGGCCCTGCTCCTTTTGCTTTCAGTTTCGTGGCCAGAGCCTGGGCTTCTCTGCCCCTTGTCCGATGAGGCACCAATGCGCACGCAGAGCACAGTTCGTGCACCTGCAGGATGGGTGGCACTGCCAATAACACTTGGAGCGAGCGCTTTACTTGCCACAGCTGTGGATTGCGAGTCAGTGGGGAGAGGTGGACTATTGCGAGTGGTGCAGACATGCGAGAGAAGCACAAGCCACGTGGGGTGTGTGAGGGTGCGAGAATGCAGGGGGCACGGCCCTTGGGGTGCTTAACATGGGATTGAGGGGCTTAGTAGCAACGGAATCGAGATGGTGAGCACCTGGCTGTTGCTTGTCTTCCGGCAGTTTTTGTAAAAGTTGGTTGTGTCAGTAACATAACTCTGAACGTTAGATCCCGGGGCATCTAGTAGGGCTGGGCCGCATGTGGCTTTCCAGATGTTGCTGGGCTGCAGTTCCCCAAATCCAGCACCACTGGCTATGGTGACCAGGACTGAGGGGAGCTGCAATCCAGCGACAACTGGGAAGCCACCACCCTGGCTGTATAGGGTGGCCAGTGTGTCCCAGGATAATGGGGGCTTTTCCATCATTCCCTTGCTTGGAGTGTTTGTTGCTTGCCCTTCCACCAAGCAGTTTGGAGGTGCCTGTGCAGAGCATCCAGGCGGCTTCCCATCCAGGTAGCCAACCATCTCGGCTTCTTTGATGGAACTCTCTCCAACATCTTCAGTTCAAAGAGGATCAGGTAGTAGCAGATGATGTGAAATGATCTCCCTCTCTCCCTCTTGCGCTCTGCCCAAGACCCTTGAGAGCTTCTGCCAGAGTAGCCAATATGGATGGCTGGACGAAAACAGGAGGTAGCATAAAGGCGGCTGACTGCTGGGCCCTGTGAGGCCATCCCTGAGGCACAGGGAACCGAAGCAGATGAATGGATTGTGTTGGTAGGTCAGGTGGGAACAGCTGTCACTGAGGCCAGCTTTCCCAAATTGATGCCCTCCAGATGTGTAGGGCTACCACACCCCCCACCCCCAGCCAGCATGGCCACAGGGGATGATGGGAGTTGTAGCCAGACACAGCTGGGGGGCTTGGTTAGACCTAGATTAACAGCACGGTTTACTGTTTTAAAACAGTAGCTTCCGTACAGCCTGAAGTGCCTGATCCTGGAAGCTCAGCAGGGTCGGGCCTGGTTGAAATCTGGATGGGGGACTTAAATGTTGTGAACCAGCCAGAGGGCTTTGACTACAGGCAGCCTGGAAAGGTAATGTAAAGGCTTGTGCTGCTGCCTTGAAGGCTTTTGATCGGGCAAGCGGTTCATCAGTATCAGTTAGTCCACCAAGAATGAGGCAGGAATCTGGTCCCGGGTGAAGCAGAGCTGGCAGCTGGAGGCAGGGTGAGTGCTGTGGCTGGACGAAGGAGTAGGAATGGGGGTGGGAACAGGTGTGCGCAGGTGTGCCGTACCTCCTGGCAGTAGCTCCGGATCTCCTCTGGGGTGCGGAAGCAGGTTTGGGTGCCAAACGCATCAGGCTCCCAGCGCCCCGTCTGTACATTGAGGTGTAGGACTAGTTTCCCGCAAAACATGGCTATCTGGGGGCTCCTGAGTGATGGGCCAAGCTCGGCTCCCATCCCCTGCAACAGACAAACAGAGGAGTGATAACAAGCCAAAGTGCTCTGCAGAATTGCCACGCCGCCCATGGGTCGCCTCAAGGGAAAGCATTCCCAATGGCATGAACGAGAGGGGGGTTCTCTGGGACGCCCCACTGCCCCCAACCAAGCCCCAAATCAGCACAGCAACCTGTCCTGCTCTCCCTTTCCTCCCTCCCATCTTTGTTTGCACCATCTCTCCCTCCCGCCCTCTTGCTTTCTCTCTTCTCCTCCTCGGCAACCACGGGGATGTTGTTGCTGTGGAAACCGCTCCCCATGGAGTTGCCAGATCTTCTCTGTTGCCATGGAGACCAGCTCCCAAATGGAAATTAATACTGCATCACCAGCCCCTCCCCTCAGCAATTTCTCATCCTGGGCCCCCTCCCGCTCTCCTCCGGCACCGCCACCTCCTTCTCCTCCCTCACCTTTCTTCCTCTCCTCCCTTGCCACTCCAGCTCCCCCAGTTTCGTCACCCTCCCAGCTCTTCCTCGCCCAGTGCCCTCCATCACCACCCCCTCCTGGCCGTTCCTCACACCACGCCAGGGCTCAGCCGGGTCGCATCCACCCTTCAGGGCAGCGATAGGTGGGGACTCCACAGCTGGCACCCACGGCCCCAGACATGTAGACACATGGGGCCGAGGAACAGCTGCTGCCCCGTCTCAATTCCCCGCCACCACCGCCACGAGGGCTCAGCTCCTGCCACTGCAGGACCCGTGCCTGGCTCAGGGATGGAAAACAAAGCTGTTTTCATAACTTCACCCTGCCTGACCAAAAGAACAAACAAGGACCCATTCACGCCGTGTGCCCAAGGTTGCAAAATCCAAAGGCGGCACCAGGAAGAAGAGAAGGCAAGACCCCAAGCCTGAGCCAGAGCCGTGGCAGGGCTGGAGGAAGGAGCTGCGGAAGTCTGGAGCTAGAGAAACAAGCGCCGGCAGGGCTGGCTACCCGCCAGGGGCAGAACTGGGTAGGGGGCAGAGAAACCCACAGGGTGACTGGAGCAGCAGCGGTGTGGGAGTCAGCCGGAGGCTCCGAGAAGATGGGATGCAAGAGGCAGGGATGGTCTGGGTTCAGGCTGGCAGAACAGCAACGAGGTGGCCAACATTTTCTCTGCCACTCCCATTTCCCCCCTGCATTCCCAGCTTGGCCTGAATTTAACTAGCAATTAACATTTGCTGCTTTGGTTAGCAAAGCAAAGGCGCCAGCTTGGAAGGAAATCAGAAATCGTCCTCCCAGTGCAGTTTGGCCCTAAAACAAGAAGTGTGATGGGGGGAAGACAGGTAAGTGAGAAGAGAGCCCGTGGGGTGTGTGCCCATGGTTCGTGTGCTGGGCTTGGACTCAGGAGCACTGGTCCCCACTCATTTCCCCCACTTGAAGCTGCGACTTTGGACCATCCCATATGTGACTTTGGGCCATCCGATGAATCTTCGCCTGACCTACATCACAGGGCTGTTGTGAGGATAAAAAGGGAAAGGGGAGAATCATGCCCGTTGCTCTGGGCTCCTTGGAGCAAAAGGCAGGGCATAAAGGTAACAATCGCTGGGAAGAAGAAATGAACTCCTGGGCAGATGCAGCAGATATACAAGGGGCCTGTCTCCTCCCTCTGGGTGGAATGAGGTGTGCGTGTATTATATATATATGAGGGAGGACAATGGGGATGTCAGGCCTGGATTAAGTTGGATCCTGCAGCTAAGCTGGGGCTCCAAGCGATTAAGCAGCTGCTGCAATTTGGTGGAAGGCTGACCTCCCGTTCAGGCCAGGGCGGACTGGGCTAGGTAGCCAAGCACGCAGGGGAGTGGGTGGGAAGGGAGGCAAGAGTGAGGAGGGGGCTCTCTCCAGAGCATGCCCTACCCAGGAGCCCGGCCTGTGGCGCTGATGGGCAACCCGTGGCCGAGCGGGGAAACAGGGAAGCCAGGGCAGCGGGCGGGAAGCGGTTAATTGGCATCAGGATTAGTAAGTGCAGGGCTAATCCGGCTCCTGCTCCCCCTGCACAGCACTTAGCGAGATGAGATGGGGAGGGGAGGGGAGGGGAGGGGAGGCGTCCACCTGTTTTTCCCTCCCACTCTACCCCAAGGCTCTCATAACTTGTGGGAGGAAAGGGAGTGGGGGAGAACGGCAGCGGAAGCAAGGTGGAAGCAAGGTGGGGGAGGCGAGAGCTCGGCCGTCCCAGCCCTGCCTTGCGCTGGACGGCTGTGATTAAGGGAGTCCATGTGGAATGCAGCCCCTGCCCAAAAGGGACGGGGGGGGGTGTCTGAGAGGCCCAAATGCCCCCTGCACCCCTGCCCAGTTCCTCTCCCCGGCCGCGGGCCCATGCAGGCTGCTCCGTGCAGCGTCCTCGCAGCTCCGCTGGCCCTGTGAGGAGGAGGGGGCAACCGACCGCCTTGCAGGAGCAGGGCAACGTGGGGGGTGGGAGGAAAATAGCGGCCCCCCTTCACTCAGAGGAAGAGCAGAGGGGCAGATGGGAAGCTTTTCCAACTTTTTTGGGTGGGGGAGGACGGAGGAATCCCTCCCGTGCAAAGAGGACAATGTCAGGTGGAATATGGACAGAACAAAGGCCATGGATTGTGTTCCTTTTCCAAAGCTGGGGGTGGGGTGGGGGGTTGGTCACCTCCCCCCCCCACTCCTCTGTGCTATCTTCTTTAACTGAGTCCCTCACTCCCACCCCCGGCTCAGTGACAATGACCATTAAAAGAGGGAAAGAGTAAGCAATCAAGTCATTGCCTGGGTTCCCATAATGTGATAACCTGTCATGCTCTTTGAACCCATCACAAGCTATTCTGACTGGATTCAGACAACAAGCCCCCCTTGCCTTATAAGCCACGTGGCTTCCTGTGTTGTGTCAACCAAACTGTCTGGGTTCAGGCAACACAATGACTCACACTCAAGGGCTGAATGTGGGTTGTCATTGAACTGTGGCTTAATGTTGACAAATGGGTTACTATTGTCTGAACCCAGTTGACATACAAAGCACAGTGAACTGCCCACAGTTCACAACCCAATGACAAATCAGGGATTTTTCATGGTTAAGCCATGGCTTGTTAGCACAGCTGGTTCAGACCAGACATTCACCCACGTTTCTACAACAGCCCATGTTCAACTCATATTGAACCCCAGAGTGTGGGCGAACACATTGTGTTTGCATGTATGTGTAAGCTAATTGAACATCTGCGTGGCATGTGTTACCTCTGCCCCTACCATGAGGGAGGGAAGCAGCCTGCTCTGATCGCATGGCTACAATCTCTGTTTTGTCTGTCAAGAGATTAATCATCTATAGCTGTAGCCCAGCTTTCCTGCAACTTGGTATCTTGCAGATGTGCTGGGCAAAGCTTCCAGCTGGAGTTTTAGCCTAACACATCTGGAGAGTACTAAGTCAGGGGGAGGCATGGCTGGTCCTGTAGGCAGATCATGCCAGACAAGGAGAACATTAAAATGATAGAGTCAGGAGGCACCTCAAAATCTAAATCTTAGAAAGCTTAAAATATGCTCCCATTTAGAAACACACTTTCCTGCTGGAATGTCTTGCTATTAATTACTGAGCTGGCCAAGACCTAAGTCCAAATCTTCCATGATATCATAAGCGCAACTCTTACAATCCTTGACCATACTTGCTGGGACTTAGGGGCATTGTAGTACAAAAACATCCAGAGGGCACCAAGTACTCCTGGTCTAAGCTGCAGGCATTTTCCTCCTGAGGAAAGCTCAAGGGAGGGCCCCAAACACTGGGATGCCAAACAGGGAGATCCAGGGGTGAGGGGAGCTGGGCCTGGTATTTAGGAAGCTTTGGGCGCAACCCCTATCCCGACATCACTGTGACTGGGGGAGGGATGCCAGGCCCCTTTGATCTCATTTCGAGCAATAAAATGGTAAGCACTGTCCTGCTGGAACACAGGCTGGACAGTCTTCGCATTCTGCCTGCAACTGCAGCCACAGGATCCCTTGGCTGACCATCAGCAGGGCATGATGCTCTGTTGTTTGTGTGTGTACTCTAGCAGCAGTACACACTGACACTATGGGCAGAGGCTTCATTTGGCTCCTCAGCCCTTAGAATCATGACAAATGGGAACTGCACCAAAACATTGCGGTGGTGCTGTCCTTTTCATGGTTCTAGGTAAGCCAAGCCAGGATGTGCCTTTGCATTGCTTCTCTTTTCCTTCCCCAGCTTGATCCCTGAATATTCTGGGGTAACTAAGCATCCAAAGTTCTCACCAGGTTGGGATCCCCAGTCCTGCTCCTGGAGGTGTGTTAAAGCAGAAGAAAGTACCACTAATCTGTTTCTTTTATGCCGGCTAGCCTATTTAGCAGTGTAAATTTTGCCACCATTGCAAACACAACCTCTGACATAACCCAGCCACCCGTGGTCAAAGCTGCAGACAATTTCCCCAAGGAACAAAGCAAGAAAGTCAAGTCTCCCCTGCCTTTGCCATCTCGATACACACATGCACACAAACACGGGGACTGCTCCAAACAGGGAAAGGCTTCAGAGAAGCATCCTTTGCTACGGGATGCAAAACACAATCCTTTAACAAGGCTCTGCTGGAAGGATGCTCCTGCATCATCTTTCAGCGCGCCAAGAAAAAACAGGCCTTTTTGTGGGGCTCTTTTGAGTTGGAAACATCTGCAGCCTCTCATCAAAGGGTTACGACATCTCCTCTGGACAAGAAGGCCCTTAAACTGACCAGGATGAAGAGCAGCCCAGCAGCTTTGAGCTGGGAGAGGAGAGGCGGTGGATGCTGGCCAGCAAAAAAGGCCACATCATACAGACTGATTTCTGTGAGCAGAGCCCCTGTTTTGCTTTGCTTTGCTTTCTAACTTAAAACAGGTGCAAGGAGGTCCATATTTAACTGGGGCAGAGGAAGGGGTGTTTAACTGTTCTCCTCCATTTCTTTCAATCTAGATGTCTTCATACTTCCCAAAGAGGCCAGTAATCTCACAAGGGGAAGAAATACAATTATAGAAGATTCCAAGATCCAGCACTGAGGACAGCCAAGCTATATCACAGTGCAGCCTCAATGTTAGGGGATGGTGGTGGGGAACCACACTGCTCCTCGGAGAAGGCGGTGGGTTGATAGCCCAGAGCATGCTTTGGTCTGCTCGCCTCCCCCTGCCAGGTAAAGAGGGGAACCCTGCAGCCCCCATCCAAAAGCTGAGCTTTTGTCTTGACCCTTTGTCTTTCTTGGGCATAGCAACCTCTACTAGCTGGATAGGTGGATTGCTTTTGTTGAAATGCTAGAGAAAGGCCCACCGATTTTGGCTGTTGGAGCATTTTTCCTAAGGACCGGCCCTACCATAAGGCAGCGTGAAGGAGTTACCTCAGGCGGCTGATCGCAGGTGTCTTTACAAAACGGCAGCCAATGTTACTCATGTAAGATATTATCCTTGCTGTATTTCTACCCCCAGGAAAGTAATTTGTGGGATTTTCTGTCTTGGGTGGCCAAAGGAAGCCCGGCCAGCCTTGGACACCTTGTTCCAGGGGAGGGATGTGTGGTCTGGTATTCCACCTCAAACGGCAGAAGCATCTTGGGCCAGCCCTGTCTCATTCAGTAGGTCAGTGGGGCTTGCTTGCAGACGAGGCAGGAAACGGCCTGAAGCGGCACACAGCAAGCCCCTGAGGGACCCAAGCCGGTGGCTCCAAAATCTCCCACCCATCTCCAAGGCAGTGGCCCGAGGTGCTCTGGTCCCACGTCGCTCCATCCCACCTGGGGGCAAGGATGGCCATGTGATGGGGGCGAGGTTCGGGGGAGCCTGGAGTGAGCCAGGAGAGAATGCTCCACCTCTTATCCATTTGGCGATGGCTCCCTGCTCTCAGTAAGGGGGGCAGCTGGGTGGAGCGCCAGGCAGTCCCTTCTTTTGCAGAAAGGAACACAGGGAGATCGAACAGAAAAACAGACGCTTCCCTCCACCCAGACATGGCACTGGCCCGCGCAGATACGGAGGCTGGCTGCTGGGCTCGGCTCCCCGTCGCGCTCCTTCTCGCCCTCCCCTCCCCTCCTCACAGCAGTCCCTCGCCTGGCCATCACCTACTGCTTCTTCGCCTCCCTAAGCCCTTTCCCTCCCCCGCCGTCCAAGCCCACCCCGTCCAGGCAGAGATTTCCTGATAAGCGCCTCCCAAGCCGTTCCCTCTAGCGGGAGAGGCGAGGGGATCGCATCGCCAGGTCGCTTTCGCTCGCTGTGCTGCTGACCTTGGGCAACCGCCCCCTCCCCGCGGCACCACCTTGAGCGCGTCATCCTCTCGCCCGGCCGCCCGCTAAAGACGCCCCGTCGAGTGTCGGCGGCAGCGGGCGCCTCTTTCGTCAGCCCGCCCCACCCCTCCCCCCGACGGGCTCACCTGGGTGTTGGCTGCGGCTCCGGGGCCGAGGCAGGAGCTCAGGAGGAGCAGAGGCGCCAGCAGGCAGCGCGCAACAAAGGCGCATCGCGCCCGCCCGGCCATGGCTCGCCCGCCCGTCTGCCCGCTCGCTCGCTCTCCCTGTCGACCGGGGGCTTTGGCTTGGTCCTGGCGCCGCGGCGGTTCGGTGCCTTCGCAGGGAGGGGGGAAGAAAAAGCAAAATCGGAGCAGGAGGGAGAAAGGATGAGCAGCGCGCCACGGATCAAGCCGCCTCCCGGCTCGGCTTCCCCAGCACAAGCGCTCCTGTTGCGGCTCCCAGCTGGGCTGTGACAGGCGGAGCTGGCCCCGCCGCCGCTGCCGCTGCCGCCGCCGCCGCCGCCTCCCGCTGCAGCAGCCTTCTGCTCGGCCCCTCCTCCGCTCGCCGCCGCGGCCCCGCCTGCGCCGCCCGCAGCGGCGTAACGCCCAGCAGGAGGAGCCGGGTCCGCAGCGGCAGCCGCCACCTGCAGGCGAGACGCGGCAGCGCGAGGGCGGCGGGGCGGGGGGGGGGGGGGCGGCGGCGAGGAGGCTGGATCGGTGGCCCCGCCGAGGCGGACGCTCGCCACTGAGCAGGGAAAGGTCCCGCGGCTCCTGCCAGCCTGGCAGGGGAAACCTGACCTGGTTTCCGATCTGGCCGACGTGTTCACCAGAAGAAAAAGACACAGTGGGATGAAAGGGGTGCTAGCACGGTAATCCCCTTGCAGACGTTCGAAAAACCACGATGGAGGGATTGCAGTGTGAGAAGAAAAAACGTACTCGGCCCATGCTCAGAGGCACTGTGAACCCTGCTCAGGGGATGCCTCTGTTCAGTCACCTGAAATGAGAAGCGCGTGGAAAGGGCTGTGGGGGCGGAGGGCAATGACGCCTTCTGCTATCCCTCTCCCCATCCCGTCAGAAAGAGCTGATGCGTGTATAAAACGAGTGGTAGACGACTGGGGTGGGGAGAAATCAATCCAAGATCCGTAGCAGGGCAATACCTTTATTTAGACCGACCGAGATGTCACGAAATAGATTGCAAGTTTTCGACGTCTCCAGCGCTCTTGATTGAGGCTACGGCCAACAAAGCCGGGGAAGGACGGCTGATGTCGAAGCCCTGGAATTTGCGTGTCGTCACAATCTTAAGACGGAATGTGGGAGGAGGCTGCCGACGGTCGTACGAGGTGCTGCTAGGTGCTGCCTGGTTTCAGGTTGCACCAAAGCCTCCTACACCCAGTCTTTGGAAATGCAAGAACCAGGCAGCGGGGGCAGCACATTGTGCTCCGTGTGTTGGTCCAGATGGATGCCCAAATAGTGCTAACAACGACAACGACACTCCTCAAACATTCAGAACGGGGCTGATCTTGCTTCTGACTCGTCGCTGACTACCTCTGATGATGGGTGACCTTTTTGGACAGCAGCACAGCGGGATCTGCCATAGTTCCAGGGCAGCTAGAAATTCAACCTCACGAGTTCAAATACTTGATTTCCCCAATAAACGTTGGTCTGCTCTGTAGTCATTGAGGGGATCTGTGAACCTGCCACAGGAATTGGCATTGCCTGGTTACCTGCCACGGGGGGGGGGGGGGGGGTGGTGAGCTGGGAAACACCTTTGCGATAGCCTCTGCATGGTCTGATGCTCGCCAGTCTTCCAACCTTTCTTTTTACATTCCATCTCCTCTTACCTGCCTGCCATGTTTGATGTCCTTTGCTCAGACCAAATGTGGCCAAGTCAGACCCCTGATCTTCGCACCCCCGTGCACTGCCATGCTCAGCTTTTCTGCCATGGACAGGCAGTGTTCCATGGCAGCTATTCCAAGCATGGATACCATGGGGTAACCTTCTCTTTCCCCTGCTTCCCCTTTGCTCTTCTCCTGGCCAAATTCTACCCAATGTCACTCCATTGGAAGTAGCTGGTGCTCAGTGGGCATAGACTGATGAGAGCCCATGGGAGCTGCTCTGTGCTTTCCCAGGAAGAGTGAGAAAGGAGCATTTCCCCAAAATGCTTTTTTGCTTTCAAGTTCCAGGAGCCAAGTGGAGGTGGGCAGAAGTTTGATGCGGGGGATGTCCAGCCGACTGGCCATGCGTTGGACTCCCAGTTAGCACCAGCAGGAACTCATCCCATTCCCCAAAATCAGGCTGCTGGGAAAAAGTGTGTGTGGGGGCAAAGCCAGGTGGCAGAGGGGAAAACCAGGAATGGAGTTTTGTGTGTGAGAAACTGAGTGCTGCTGAGGTCCTGGAGATTTAACGCTTAAGTGGCATTGTGGTGTGGAGGTTAAAAGCACAGGACCAGGACAGGAGGTGCCGCTCAGCCATGGAGCCCACTGGCTGATTTTGGGCCAGCCACACATGCTCAGCCCAATTCTCACAGGGTTGTTGCTGTGGGGATAAGACTGAGAGCAGCAAGAGGAGAGTGATGTAAGCTGCCTGAAGTTCTTTTAAAAAAGGAGAAAGTGGGATATACATCAAATAAATAAATAACATTGGAAGACTTGCTGAGTACTTAAAGGGTTTAGGGACAATCGTTCAGTGGTCCCCCCCTCCGCTCCACAAGCTTCATGGCTGGGCAGAAGGGGGATTTGGGTGAGGTACCCTCCGGAAATTGCCCTTCTCATATGGCTACTAAGCTCAGAAAACTCCTCCCAGAAGATTGTATTCTAAGATTGTATCCTAAGCCCCTTTAGAGGAAAGGTTGGGGGTGGATTGAAGCATGTGAGGAGGGGGAGTTAACCCATTTCTCTCCAGCTGCAATACCCCTAGGAAACTGTTCCTTGTGTGGGAAGTAAGCTGATAAAAATAAATCCTTCCACGGGCACCAGTAGACACGTAGGGCTCCGGGGAATAGCTCTCCAGGAATATCATGAGTGGGACTGTAGCTCAGTGGTAGAACAAATGCCTGGTGTGCAGAAGGTCCACGTTCAGCTCTTGGCATCTCCAAGTAGGACTGGAAAACTCCTGCTTGAAACTCTGGAGCACTGCTGCCAGTCTGTGTGGGTGATACTGGGGTAGGTGGACCAAACCTAAGGCACCGTTTTATGTTCTTATCTGGGCATGGTGGGTAGCTGATCAGGGAGCACACAAGGTTTAATGGAACGAGAGAGGGCTGAGTGCCCTCCACCCTTCCTTCCTTCTCTCACGTCCATAAAAGAAACAAATGGGTTGGTTGAACCACATTTTCTTAGCATGCCTGAATGCCAGTGGGTTGCTAGAACAGCTTATGTGTGGGGCTGCAATCTAAAATGCCTTGGAAATTTCCATGTGTCCAAAATAATGCAGTGAGATTGCTAATGGGGACTGGCTGAAATTTATTTATTTATTTATTTATTTGGAACATTTATATTGCACCATTGTTCTGTGACCAGCACTGGCTTCCAGAGTGCTGATATTCATTTAAAGCTTTAAAAGGTTTGTGGCCAGGTTATCTGCAGGGTTACCTCCTCCCATGTATACCTGCTTGGACCAGAAGAGCGTCTTCAGAGCCACATTTCCAGTTGCCACTGCCAAATGAAGCGAGGCAAGCAGTTGCTATGAAAAGGGCCTTTCCAGTGGGGGCGTCCTCGTTGTGGAATGTTTTTCCTGAAGAGGCTTGCCTGGCACCCACACGGTGGCCTTTCGAGCCAGACGTTTCCACTGAAGGAGACTTGGGGGATGACAACAGAGAAGGTCTTTTCTGTGGTGGCACCCCCAAATATGGAACTTTCCCCCAGTGAAATCTGTTTGTTGCCCACATTATTATTCATTTGGCTTTGGTGCTACATTAAAACGCCCCTCTACCCTCAGAGATTCCACAGTATATGATAAAGTTTTCACCAGTCCTGAAATTGTTCTTGTTGATCATTTCAGTTGATTTGGTATATAAATATAAGTTGTGTTATATTTTTAAGTTTTTCATTTTTTGTAACCTCCCTGCAAGAGCTTTTGTTGTTAGCTAGTATAGAAATAAAAACGAGTACATTTTCATGTGCCAGGTGAACATCTCTTTATTTTCCAAGGCTTTTCAGATTTAAAACTCTGCTTTATCGACCTTGGGACTCTACTGTTGCTTATTTTATTTCCACGCTGTTTTCAATTGTACGGCCATTCTTTCTCTTTTATGCTGTGAATGTTTTTTCTCCTTCTGTTTGCTATCTAGATAACTAGATTGTTAATGGGCGGCAGAAACATGCTGTTAAATAAATAAATACTCATTAAAACAGGGCACCCAAATTTCATTCTGACCACCAGCAGAGCGCATCAACCAGAGTATGAAAGATGAGTTGTTTTGTGCCAAACACCAAGTTGTAATCCTCCTAACTCTGCAAGTTTAGACAGAAAAAAGGTGAAAAACTCCCGGTCTCTCCCAGTCGGCATGGCATAGCTCTGGACTTGGAGGACCACGGGCAGCCTGTGTGTGATGTGGATGGAAGGCTCTCATGTGGATGAGAGCCAGTGTGGTGTAGTAGTGAAGAGAATGGGACTGGGACTCAGAGGATCTGGGTTCGAGTCCCTGCTCAGCCATGGAGCCAACTGAGTGACCTTGGGCCAGTCACAGACTCTCAGCCCAACCTACCTCACAGGGTTGTTGTTGTGGGGATAAGATGGAGGAGGAGAATGATGTAAGCTGTCTTGAGCCATTTGCAGGGAAATGCAGGATATAAATAAAAAGACAGACAGACAGACAGACAGACAGACAGACAGACAGTGGATGGAAGGTCTCCTTAGTGCTCCTGCATGCAAAACACTTACCTGATTTTAGCCACCTAAGCATGGCTGGTCTCAGAGAGGCAGGAAGGAGTGAAATGCACTGCCAGGATTCCTCATATGCTGGTGGAGCCTGCCTCCCCCACCCTCTTCCCACCCATTCCCCAAACCCAAAAGCTCATCCCCGAAGTTGCCCTCATGACTGGCATGGATCGTTCTGCAGCAGCTCTGAGGTTCAGAGTCCCATCTCAGTTCTTGGACCCAACTTCTGAGGCTGAATCTGAGGAATCCTGTGGCTGCCTGGACTTGGACTAGAGGCCATCATCTTGTGCCGCCCAGGTGCAATCCTACGCCTGCTCCAGTAGGAAAAGTCCTACAGCTCCCTGCATGCCCCAGGTGGTCCCAAGCAGGCCAGCTTCTGAAGCATCCACACAATGCCAACAGTTGTGGGAGACAAGCTCAATCGTAGCAAAAGCACGAGGCTCATCAGCCTCTGGGGCCATAAGCAGAGCGCGTTCACCTTCAGGCCTGAGGGTACGGTCTGAGGCATGCTGGGAGTGAGAGGACCTTTCCAGTCTATGCGTGTGCAGGGCTGCACCTGTGAAC